AGCTTTTTCCACTCTCTCTACTCTCTCTCTAAAATCCGATTTTGAGCCAAAAACGCCCAAATCAAGCTTCAAAAGATCAAGGTAATTATCCTAGCTTCTAGTTTAACATCTTTGGCCTTCAAATTCGAGATTTTTATGAAGATTAGGACCATTAGCATGAGTTTACGGTCCTAGAACATCCCTAGGCCGTGAACTCATGAAAATGGGGTTTTTGTACCATAAAACCCCTCCAAAACACTTCTAGGGCTTAGATTCGACTTAGAAACTTGCATGCATGAACCAAGGACCCCAAAATCCTATCATTTGATGTATGAACACGATTTTACATCCCAAGAAACTACTTGGACCGTAAACCCCCATGCATGAACCATAAACTCCTTTTAAGGTGTTAAAAATGCCCTTAAACACCACCACAAGCTTCCAAACGTGTCTAGGACACTCTACTCCATCATTTGAAGCACTAAATCATACAAGAAGGGACCAAACATGAGTTTACGGTCCAAGAACATGCTTGGACCATAAAACCTCATTCTTAGACCTTAAACGCCTTTTAGGATGTTAGTTTGCCCCTAAACACCTTCAATGAACTTCCATGAGTGCTTATAACCTTACAACCCTTCTAGAAATGCACCAAAACATTCATAAATTGGAAAAACTAGAGTTTACAGTCCAAGAACATTCTTATACCGTAAACTCATATTCTTAGACCATAAACTCTTCTAATGGGTGTTTAAGTGCCCTTATCACCTTGAATGACTTGTAAGTTGGACTAGAATCACATGTGATTAACCTACAAACACCAACACCCATGGATCTTGGACAAACATGAGTTTATGGTTGTAAACTCATGTGTTTAAGGAAGTAAACTCCCCAAGAACACCTTCATAGACCATAAACTCCAATCACAAAGCCATTTCAAGTCCCGATCACTTCCTAAGCCATTGAATCAACCCTAGAACTTTCCCGTGTGCATTGTAAGACTTTGTGGCATCCAAGAACACACCACCCATGAGTTTACGATCGTAAACTCATGGGGAATGAGTCATTAGAACCGTAAACCCTCTTATGAGTTTACTCTTGAGGAGTAAACTCCATATCGGAGCCTTATACGTCCCTAGATGTCACCCGGGTCACTCCAGACACTTGATTTGAAGTGTTTTCGCATCTTGGAGTGTATAATCATATCTAATTAGTTATTGAAAGTCTAATTAGATACATTTGTATATCATTTCATATTACATAGAAACCTCACGCATTATCGAACCCCTGAACCGATACTTAGCATCCATACCTACACGCTTCTCGACCGGTGAGTTCATACCCCTACCCCTTTTTCAAATGTTTTTCTAATGTTTTCAGGGGGGGAATACAAGCAAAAGTACAAGGAAATCTTGTACTCAAACTTATTATTTTCAGTTCAAATGTCTATAATCTGTATGTTTTTAATATCGAAAACTGTGTTAATCAAATAGTTCAAATTACGAAGTTAGCTTTCAAACTAATCATAGATTACTTGATAAAGTGTTACAATCTATATTTCATAATTTACGAATAATTCATACTAATCATCAATTAGAACTAATACGAATACGAATACGAAAGTACAACTAGGAACAGAACGAATACGAAAGTATAACTAGGAATACGAATACGAATGCGAATACGAATATGAATACGAATAGGATTAGGATTAGGACTTGGGATACCAATACGAATGCGAATATGAATACGAATACTAATAGGATTAGGAATAGGACTAGGAATACGAATACGAATGCGACTACGAATAGGAATAGGAATAGGAACACAAATATGAATACGAATACAAATATAAAATACGAATACGAATACGAATAGGAACACAAATATGAATACAAATACGATGGCATGCATTTAGGTACATTCAAGCGTAACACAATTAGGATATCAGAATACCTAGCTAATATGACAAGTATGATAGATAATCAAAATTACATTGGGATTCAATAACTAAAACTACTTATAGTAAAATATAGGATTTTCATATGATAACAATTGAACATAACCAGATTCGTGTAATAAAACAGTTAATCAAACTCTACAAATAAGAAAATATGGGATTTTCTTGCATAACAAACTTTTTCAGAAAACAAAAGGGATCTTGTACATTTTCAGAAAACTAACATCTTATTAACTCACCAGCTTTATGCTGATTTTCAAACTGCTTGTATTCTCAGGTCCATATTAGATAGGTACCCAACAATCCTTTTAGAGAAGTTAGAGCGTACATAAGACTTGTCTTAACTTTTTTTAATATGATATATGTATAACACCTGTAACACTTTACTTTTAAACAAATGTAATTTCTATTATGTAATGTAATGGTTGTTTACTTTGCTTACTATGTACATTGGATTTGATACTCAACGTGGAGTCCACCCCAGAAATGTTTCCGCCTTAGGTTTTCGGGGTGTGACATGAATGCTATGGCTCTATATAGTCTTACAACACTCGCTCACTGGCTAGTGAATGCTACAGCTCCCCACAGTCTCACGACACTCCTTCACTCAGTAGTGAATGCTATGGCTCCCCGTAGTCTTACACCACTCTCTCACTGACTCGTGAATGCTACGATGCCTCGTAGTCTTACAACAATCTTACATTCCAACAATATATGGAATCATACTTGGAAACCCTAATACACCATCCCAGAATCTCACGATAGCTTGTCACAATCACTGATCTTCAACTACACATCTCGAAGCCTTCGAAATACCCCAACTCCTTAATGATGTATGGAAAGAACATCAACCCATGAAAATATGTTGGTGACAATCCAAAACCCCATTGCTACTGATCAACCCATGCGAACTGCACCTACCGACTCTAAAATTGATTGACAAATCAACTACTACCCCTCCTGAAGTATAGATAGCAATCTATACGTTGAATTAACACATGTATCAACAATCTAAACTTGGCCTCAATGACCCAACCTCCTCGAAACTTGTACATTGGCGAACCCAAAAGAAACACTGACCACAATAAGACCTCTGTACAATGGCTACCTGCTGTGAAGACACTCAATCTCACCTGGGCACATACAACATGCATCGTCTTGCTCTGTACATTGCCTTGACTACCACAAGACCCAAGCCTCATATAATCGGACCACAGATCCCCGTAACTCACTCGTATGCAACATAAATTAAACAGATTGTTGATCCTCCATACATAATACCGAATTCTCCCCCAATCAGGGTTCGAACCATCACAAATGGGCATATCAAATAGTCTACACTATAGACCGGCTCACCAGATATACCATACTCGACTCTTGGCGCATACCCTACAACACTTGATGATCTTCCAAATAAAGACCAAGCACTCCAAGTATTCTGAATCTCAGATGGAAACCTCGAAAACTTCCCAATATGACTACCTCCAGTCACCCAAAATCTCATTTGGATGCACAAAAAAATATTTTGACAGTCCTAAAATAGCACTGACTCTTTATAGGGAGATAATGGACTATCACACACTTCATTCTCTAAATCCTCAACCAACACCCCATTGCAAGAGTCGACATCGAAACAGGAGACCTCACTCTCCCAGTCGATTCGCAGCATAGACAACATAGGTCTTCGTCCCAAGAAACTTCCCGTGGTTACCTGGAATTGTAGCTAGAACACGCCTTACAATGCTCATTTGAGTAGAATCCTTGTCTTCAACTGTCACAGTCCCCACTGATGATTCCTTCCCGGTATATGAATAACTCAAAGCACTTATACACCATAATTTCCTTTGGTGCTAGTACCATAACTATCTATGACCCCACAGGGTCTTCCTCTAATCTCTAAAATCAAAAGCTCACTTACCATTCTTCCAAAATGGAAAGCCAGAATAATATAATCTTCTTCATAGGAATTTCCACCACAATCCGTCGGTCGACACGACTAGAAAACAACCCTTTAATGACGTGCAAACAATGACACATGCTGATATAGGACGCTTATTTGTGTGTGGCCTAAAAAATAATGTCAGTTTAGCAAAATTTGAAGGACAAAGGACACATATTTTTGTGCGCCCTAAAATTAGTGTCCAACAAACAAAATTTAAAAACATGGAGGGCACCTATCCTAAAAAGTGAAATCCAAAAAATAAAAAACCATGTCGCTTTATAATTTTAGTCTATGAAAATTAGTGTTACCATGTCGCTTTATAATTTTAGTCTATGAGTGCGCGTTTTCATTTTTTGGGGGGAATGAAATCCAAAAAATAAAAAACCCCCACTTGCGTCTATTCCTTCCAAAGGAACGACCACCTCATCAGACTCACCACCACCATCTCTCTCTCTCTCTCTATATATATATATATATATATATATATATATATATATATATATATATATATATATATATATATATCCTCTATGGTATAGACCACCACTATCTTGCACCACCGCCATGGTCGTCGCAGCTACATCTCACCACTTGCAACCTCAACACAATCGACCATCACCACCATTCCTATCATCCATCGCCACCCTACCATCTTCTCCATCACCACCTCTTTTTTGTTCCATGTGAAACCCTAAAATCGGTATCAACAACTAATAGGGTTAGGAGAAAAAGTTGATCTAAGAAAAATCAAAGCAAACGACTTAGGAAATGCTACCATATACTTGTACAACGTTGCTCAGGTAGGTTATTTCCTAAACTTTGTCTTTAATTCTAAGGATATTTCCTTCGATTCTAACCCTATTTTTTTCTCTCCCCCCCCCCTTTGGATTTAGGTTTTTTGTGTGATTGGAGATGTTTCCTTTTTACATTGTATTCAATCATTGATATAATCAAATCTATTCATATTCTGAACCACCATATCAGATGATGTAGTGTACTACTGATCGACTCAGTGAGTCAGTGAGTGAGATGTTTGATTGACTAAACTGGAAATGGTAAGTGGTTCAGGTGGCTCATCTAGGCAAAATTGCAATCGGTGGGCATTCATACGGGGTGTTTATGACTGCAAAGTTGTTGTCGCATGCCCCTCATCTTTTCATTTGTGGCATTGCTCGCTCAGGAGCATATAATAGAACCCTTACACCTTTTGGGTTTCAGGTAAGACAGACAGACTTTGATTTGGTATTTGGTTGGTTTTTTCTCATTTGTAATTTATTACGTTGTTGAGTAGAATGAAGATGGAACCCTCTGTGTATTGCGTATTTGCGCTATACTTAAAAATAGATGCATGCAGATGATTTGAAATTAAACCTAGTGGTTCCTAAATATAAAAATGAAAAGGATATAATAGCAAGCTCATCACCATAATTCTTCTACTTGTCAAGTTTCTTAGAAGTTGAACATGACCATCTATTATATTAAGAAAGTTTACAAACAAGATGATTAAACTTACGCAAATAATTAAATTACCATTTCAGTAGAATATTAGATTTGGTTTATGTTGAGTATTCAATAACCTTGAGATTATAGCTTATCGGTTAGATAGTTTCATTTGTATAATTTATGAGAGTATATTAATGCACAATATATGTTGGATTTATGTAATGAATATAACAAAGAACTAATCCCATCCTTACAAAAAACACAAACCTCATATAATTTCCAGATTTAACCAATTCAATTTCTGCTACATATTTCTTGCATCCTGTATATGATTTTTAAGAAAAAGTAAAAACCTGATTACATCCACTTTTTTGTTTAAATTGATTTATGTTCTTTGCTTCTGTAGTAGAAGGCTAGAAGAGACATGACTTATAGCTTTGGTGAAGAGGGCCCTGCCATTGTGCAATTGCAAAAGTGGGAATCTTCTCGATTGCAAGCAAACCTGACACAGTTTCATGAAGCTTTCCTTTCCCCAACTAGGGAACTTATATTATTGCTTTCATATCACCATGAAGGTTAATTCTTCCTCCAGTCAAAAGTGACCATCCAATCTAAAATTTTTAAGTGCTTATGCTATGATCAAACCTGGTTTATGTTGATTTTAAGATGTGAGTTATTTATATGAATCTTTTGTGCAGGTGAAGCTATAAGTCGTATTGTAAGTTATCCCATGCTTTCTGATATAAATTCACTTTCTTGGGGTATATGTGAAGATTCAAATAGTCAACATGAGGGGGCTTTATGTAGAGAACTTCTCTTTGTGGTTGGAGATCATGGGTTGACTGCCCATGCATTTTATCAATCCACTGAGTGCAACAGTGAATCCCTTGAACACATGCCGGATGTAGATAGTGGATAATGGGTTGAATGGGGCCCATCTAATGATGCAAAGAATATAAATAAACCATAAAATGATAGTGAACAAAGGAGATTGTTGAGAACTTTCCTTACTAAAGCCAAAACGGTGAAATCCGAAGGCTATGATTATGAATAATGGTGGTCACGAAAAGGAAGTTACTATAGGAGATGTTGTTGGATGTGTGGTTCATGGATGTTTTTATTTTGTCACATCAGAGGGTATTTCTATAATTCTACCCTCTATTTCATTGGAAATAGCTTCTGGTTGTATTCCTGTTGAAGCGATTGCTCTATGGATTACTTTGTAAACCTAATTGAAATGTAAGATTTATTATTTATAAACTTCAGTTTGATTGATACATAACTAAATATGACATTATCTCATTTTTATATTTTTTTTTATTTTTTTTATGGATAATTAGTTCATTAGAGATGCTTGCTGGTGTGAGTTTGGTAGAAGAAGGCATCCTGAGATTGGTCTTTGCTGTTGTTGGTGTGAGTATGGCAGAAGAAGGCATACTGACATCGTCTTGCTACCAATTTAAAATTCAATTCTTGATCTAACTCAGGCAACACATCACAAGGACTGCTGGTGGATGAGACAATAATTGGTTTGCATAGTACTAGATCTAGTTTAGGAGCAATTGCATGTCCATTCTTTTCTGACATTAATGAATCCTCTGACAACACAGTGGCCATAGAACGAGGCTCTTTTGACATGGAGGGAAACATAAGATTACATAAAAGTGCAGGTAAGGGTGTAGCTTCAGAAACCGAAGAAGGAATAATATTTCAGCAGGGTGACCACGGGGAAATGCCAAATAATATTGGAAGGCACACTAGTGCTACTGCTGTCTTTAGTAAAGTTAAAGTTGTTCTCCTATTGTATTATTATATGGTGGCTTGGCTTTTACTTTACGTTTCTTGTGTTTTTGATATGATAGCAGGTCAATGTGGGAATAAAAACTTGTACAATGAGAAGATTGCAGGAGAGGCTAAAGACAAGTAAGAAAAGGATTACCTCTAGTAGTAAGCCAATAAATGTTAGCTTGTGCATCTCATATGCATCTTGAGAAGTTTTTTGTTTATTGTCATTTATATATATATATATATATATATATATATATATATATATATATATATATCCTCCTTCCTTGAACACGAACATGAAAGCTTCTTTATTAAAATTCAATTCATGCAAATTTGCAATAGCTGGCTTTTATATATTTGTATGAGTGATTAAATTGCTTATGTGATGTGTTATGTCACAAGGGGACAGTTTGAAGCCATTGGAATTTATGGATTCACAATTATCACAGGATGATTCCACACGTGTTTCTTCAATGGAAACAACAAATGGTTTGATATGGTTTGACTCATTTAACTCTAGATTCTATTTAGAGTTAACAATTTGTTGGATAAAGGCAACTCTTTTGTGAAAATGGTATCTACTTTCATCAGAAGCAGATGATTAATTGTTGCAATCAACTGCCCCAATCATCACATACTGAGAAGGGAATAGAAAATGAGTTCCTATTAGATCTTGTTATTTTATGCATTCAATATGTTCTTGATATATATATATATATATATATATATATATATATATATATATATATATATATAAACATTAAATCTTTGTTGTTTTTTTCAAGTTTTTTGTAGATATACTAATGATGGAAGCAACTAATAAAGGAAATGGAAGAAGCCTCATGAAATAGATTTTTTGTATGAAACACAGAGTAGATTAGATGAATGCAAATTTATATATTGTAAGAAATAGAATTGTATGACATTAAATTTTATGCAATGGAGTGTATTTTTTGTATATGGTATTTTATTTCTATTATGAGACATTAAATGCAAATTTAAATTAAAAAGTAATAAATATATAAATATATTTTTTTAAACATTTAAATTTATGATACGCAAAAATGTGTGTAATCTTCATTTATGACATGGCCTTTCTTGATAGAGGTTTTAATGATACGCACCGCGTGTCATATATGCTCGTCGTAAATGCATGTCATCTATAGACGTAGTGAAAAAGCGTGTCGTCTCTCGTTATGACATGGCCTTCCTTGACACGCATTTGCGCATCGTTTGAGCGTTTTACGACACGCATTGCGTGTCCTAAAAGGCTGTTTTTCTATTAGTGTGATCACTCAACTCAGACTACCATCCTCCATGCACATCATCTCCACTTTTTCTTTGAGTCAGGCGACTCCAATTGGCACCTCACTAGTCAAAACCCTCAGGGTCTAAACTCAAATTTCCTCGCAAGGTATACTCCATTGAAGCTTGACTGACATGGCCCTCTAGACTCACAATCTACCATATCCACTCTCAGTTTGAACAACCACAGCCGGATAACCGGTATAGACGGTAACATACTCTGCTACGAATCATGGTACACGAACCATGTTATCTCGCCTCAACCTGCCACTTAGAACCTCTAAAATTGTCCTTGTTTCGAGTATAGGCCCTCTGCTTTCAGTAGTATGGGCCAATACTACCTTCGATAACTACTCATACTTTCCATAAGGATCATCCCAAGTTTCCTAAGTAGCTACTCAACCTTCTCAATCGACCAGCCCATTCCACATGCTCGCTCCCCAGCGAATACTCACCTCTAAGCAGCGCACTCCTCATACTGAAATTATTCCCTAGGCTCTCCTAGGGTCCCACACTTCTCTGCCATCAGTTGCTGAGGAACCCCTCGCAATGTCAATTAGCTATTCAAGCTAAGTTCCACTAAGCACAAAGCAAGAAACATTTAGGCATCTAGCAACCTCCATCATCTCATAGGTCCACTCTAGCATACAACTCCAATTGCTCTATCCTCAGCACAAAATGAATTATTGAACTCATGAAATCCTACCTCTCAACTCCTCGGAGATCTCTAATTATCCATATGCAACACTACTAGCTCACAAAACAAGCGTAAAGTCATCTCTCCTAAGCAGGCACACTAGCATGGAATTCTAAGCAGATCCTTAGCCCTAAACTAGCATGCAGTTCTATCAGCTCATTATAACACATAATCAAGTAAGGATATTTTGGGAAATCACCATTTAGGCACTAGCTAATTGTACACACTGCTTCATCTCGTTTCCTCTTAAAATCATTTGCTCTTTTAGAAAATCATTTCTTTTTAGAAAAATTCCTCAAATCCTCAGTTTGAGTCCAGATACCCGAGGGTACATTCGAATCCCTCAAACCAACGCTCTGATACCAACTTGTAACACTCTAAATTTTCAAATAAAACTGTCATTTTAAAATCCACACAAAACACAATTTAACACTTCTCATACTCAATTTATAAAAAAATTTCAAACATAAGACATAAGATTGTTTGACAAATATCCTAGAATCCTCAACACAAAAATCAACTAGCGGGTGTGTACAATCAAGTGGGCACCTTCCCGCGATCCTAAGATGTACCTGAAACACATTTCACACAACACTGTAAGCACAAAGCTTAGTGAGTTCACCAAAATACCGCACACAAATAATTAGCCTATCATGGTTGTATTTCGATAACAACCCTCCGGTCATGTGTCTCATTGAGGACCCTCCGGTCTCACGGCTCGGGTTGGACCCTCCAGTCCTATATCTCAGTGAAGACCCACCGGTCTTACGGCTTGGGTTGGACCCTCCGGTCCTGTATCTCAGTGAAGACCCTCAGTCACGGCTCGGGTTGGACCCTCTGGTCCTATCTCAATAATGCACAAAATAATATATAGCCTAAATCACAAAGACAAAGTGCATAATATCACATATCTCAGTATAAGCACATAATACACTCTGTTCAGTAACCCAAATTAAACCCTCTGGTCACATAGTAATTACCACTTAGGTAAGTATAGTGAGAAGACTCGCCTCATAAGTAAAGAAAGTATGTCTCGTACTCAATTGTCGAGCTAGAATCCAGCTACATATATCATAATCATCTCTAATTAATAATTTATAATAAAAACTCCAAGATGTTAAGCTAACTCCTTTACTAATTATTAGAAAGGGTGAAAGACTATTTTACCCCTCCATGGTCTCTAACGTTCACAACTTGACCAACCCTAAAAGTCAATGGAAGTCAACACTCAAGTCAACAGTCCATGTTGACTCAACTCGTCAAGTGCATCTATGCGACTCATTGAGTTCCTTTTGTTCTCAGAAAATTAGGAAAATTCAACTCAACTCGCCAAGTTATCTCACCAACTCGTCGAGTTTGCATAGTATCCAGAATATCAGGGAAAACACTAACAAACTCGTGGAGTTGGCTATCGAACTCGTCGAGTTCCTTCAGTTTTTTCAATCATTCAGACGCTCTTAAGCGAGTCTAATGCCCAAAAATCTATATCTAGCCTTCTAAGTCTTAAATACCATGTAAAACTGCAAGGTTTACATCCATGCATGGCATTTAGGGATAACTTTGCGAAAACAAGGCTCAACAATGGGTTTAAGACATTAAGATTGGCCAAAGCTTGATAAAGCTGGAGTCTTTAGGCCTAAAGGGCCTAATAGTGTCCACATCTGAAGTCTTAGCTTCAAAGCATGCTCAAAACCAATAATGACTCAAGAATATGCTAGAAATGGCCATAAACTCTCCAATGGAGAGATCTATCAAACAAGTGATCAAAGTAATGGCTTTTTATCTCCAAATGGCTGCTACAACATAATGGATGTCGGATCCAAAGTCTCCTTCTTGTTCCAATCCCTTAACTCTTCAAGTTTCTTTAAGGAATGCATGAATACACACACTCTTAGCCTTACATACACTCAAAATGGAAAATAGCTCGATTAGGGTTTGTCTCTGGGTGATAAGGCGATGAGGGAGACGAGATAAAGGATTTAAGGTACTTTAAATAGGGCATAAACCCTAAATGTTAGGGTTTTCTCACTCAGCTCCAACTCTTCGAGTTCGTTCTAAAGTCCACGCGACCATCTCAATCTTTACTCGACGGCTTAGGGCTTCCAACTTGTCGAGTTGCCCTGTCAAAATGAATATAAAACAATTTAAATTTATACATGGGAGTCAGGATGTTACACGATAATTTTTTCGCCTAGAGAATAACGTCGTGATCATGTGTTGGTCATGATGAGATGACATGGATTGTTGACTTTATGACCAAGTTTGACTTTTGGTCAACTATGTTGGGTTTGGGTCTTAGAGGAGAAAAATGGTATTTTTCCCATAGAATAACTATTATTTAGACCTGGTCTCGACAAGGAAGTGTAGATAAAGGTTTTTCCTTAATTATTAAATTAAGTTTATTTGTTGTGTAATGACTTGAGGAATACTCAATGCTACTAGCTTCGTTCTGTGTAATTCATCTCGTTGCTTGTTTAGGTGAGTTCTCATGAACTTACTTATTATAAAGAATATGTGTTATATGTATGTCAACTAGAGAAAAACCTATCGGATGGAATCTGTTTGGATTAAAAGGATAGGTTTTTCTAACCATGATAGACCCCATTGGGGAGACGATCAATGTTTGAATGATCATGATATACCCTTCGAATGAAGTGATCAGTCATACTATGGTAGGGTATGAAATAGACCCTTTGAGGGAATCAGCCTACTGATATAGAGTTAGTACCGACAATATGTGTTAAAAAATATGTATATTATGTGATTGAATGTGAAGTTAGATGAAATTACTGCTATATGTTAATGTGAATGGTTTACAGTTGGTACTCTATGTTTTTAATTGTAGGTCCTTCTGGTTTGAAGGGCAAGGAGTTGACATGATTGGGATATCTGGACATTCTCAGAGGGACATGGCATTTAGTTTATTCATTCTATGTTCGGTTGGTTTTCAAACAAGGCTTATGTGCGTGCTAAAATTCTCCAGATTACGGGAATCACTAGAGTATAAGCGATACCATAAACCCTAAAAAAATCAGACAACAAAAAGGGAAAAGGGTATTTCAAAGCTAAGGTAAAGGGGAGCTCAGGGAAGAAAATCCAATAAGAGGAAAGTGAATCACATCTCAAGCGAGGATCAA